AAACTTTGTCAAATCGAAAAAATAAGAAAATATTCGTAATCAGCATTAAAAATTGAATCTAGAAATGTATGTCTAAAGAAAAAATGAAGAGTGCTCAAATTTCGAATTAGTTGCACCTTACTCGAGGATTTCCCCAATCGACGACATAAAGATTGCCGTGTCGATCGAATGGTAAACCTTGGAGCACACTGAGTTGATTCGATTGTTCTCCGTAACCGTTTCCACCAACAATGACGCTTCCTTGCGTAGCTCCTTTAGGCCAACGCATGATTCGACCATTTTCTGAATCAACCACATAGACAGTGCCTAATTGATCGACAACGACTCCTTCAGGACTTCGCAATTGTGTAAAACCATTTCCTGCTCCCTGACTACCAGCAACGACAGTTCCTTCTGTTGCACCGTCCATCCATTTCATCACACGATGATTCAACGGATCAGATACGTAGACTGATTGACCTCGATCGACGAATACGTGTGTTGGGCCATAGAGTTGGTCAAGACGATTTCCACGTCAATTTCCACCTGCAACCACTGTTTCTTTTGATTCTCCTCTTCGATATCGTCTCACTTCATCTTGGTGCCTGTTAACAACATAAAGAGATCCGGTCTCGTCCATTGTAAAACCCGCACAAGCGATGTTGGATATGATTGTTTCTCCACTTGTTCTATTTCGACGAGGCCATCGAACCACTCTACTATTTCCAAAATCGCAGATGATGAGACTATCTTTCTCTTTGTCGACAATCACGTCCCATGATAGAGACAACTGATGAGCACCACTTCATTCTCCATTTCCACCGACAACCACTTGGCCTCTCGTCGCGTGTGGGTGTGGGTGTGGGCGTGGGATGGGGTGTGGGTATGGGTGTGGGTGTACATGGAAGAAGAGAAGATTTACATCCCCACCCACCCACACACCCGCACCCACACCCACACCCACACCCCACACTCACACCCACACCCTACATACATTAGAATTGAACACCTATTGATTTCATTAAAAGTATTATTGAAAAATGTTTGAATCAAATTATTGAGGTTCTATTAAATTACACAAGCATTCAGAGTCGTATTTTTCATCATTTATTCAGATTTCGATCGTTTCATAATCATTAAACATCATCTACACCATTCAATATGTTATTCGTTAAGGGAAATACGTATATCTACAGATTTCTGACAGTCTGATCCTAGCACAAACTCTCTTGCATATTTTCAATCTGTTTCATTTATCAAGAATTTAGTAGCATTTTTGTGAAAAATATGAGATTTCCACGCAGCTTCATATTCTAAATTGTTTTTGATAAAAATGCTTTTCGTTCAAATTTCTATCGATTTTGACAAATGAAGTTTTGTCATATCCCATGCTCGTGATCATAAAATCTCATATAAATCACAAAATCACAATTAAATTGTATCTAATCTTTGCATTGTTTAGATAGTGAACGTGTCTCAAGCGAAGTTTTGTTATTGGATTTTCATAAGACCTTACCACTCACACTATTTATTTCAAGTGAGAACAAATTTAAAAAGTTTTATCGCATTAGTTTATTTCAAATTCGTTCTGATTTAAAATAAAAAACTAGTGACAATTGTTAAAAACAAGAATTTTGTTTTTCAAATAGGATTGTATTAAGAATCAATTATTGTAACTTTCGATGGAAACCGCTTCGTTTTCTATCCAATCACATCAATCTTCAGAAATCTCTAGTGTACAGACTGAACACATCTAAACAAGTTGCACAATGAACTATATGTAACTAAAATTTCCGATTTTCCGCTAAGTTCAATGATTCTGAGGTGTCGCATCCGTAAATTCCCAGTAGGAACCTACTGAAAAGGTCTCATTTCTGGATGGAAAAGCACGGAAAAGGATATAATATTGAAATTAGAAGTCAAGTGATTAGATGTAGTTACCAGATTTTTCTATTTTCCGTTAAAAACAATCTTAACCGTGCAGAATCTCAACCACAGGATACCTAGGCTGTTTATTTTATCAACGAAATATTTGCCTGGAGTCGATCAACAATGAGCGAACTCTGACTTATTAGTACAAACGATTCCATAAGTTGAGAGTTGTTTGGAGTTCAGTCCTCATTGTAATACGTTTAAAGTTTCGTCTCACTTTCTAACATCAAATAAGTGGTCTAAAAAAATCAATGTTGATAGATTTTGTGGTACCACATATCGATAGACGTTAGAGAGCATTAGTTTTTAACTAAAACAACCATCGTCATTTTTTATTTTAGATACTACGCGAACTGTACTGGTATCAGAATCAGATCGGGAACAAAGAAGCAAAAGGTCTCGTAGATGGACTAAAAGATAACAAAGTAAGCGAGGATGTGGAGTGCAGGTGTGGGTATCGATCTGCGGGTGCGCGTGGGTGGCGGTTTATTGTTCATCCACGCCCACCGTCTGGTGTAGGACTGTAGGAATGCCTGTGAGTATGGGTGTGGATGTACGATAGGATGTGAAAGTGTACCCGCACGTCTGTGCTGGTTCGCATAGCATTAGAGCAAACGAACGCACACCCACACCCTCAAAATAAATGAATAGAAATTGGCACAGTTTAAGGGTACACCCCACCCTGTCCGGGTATCTCGAGAACGGCTCTATGAGAACTCCAGAAACTTTCGGTGTAGATAAATCTTGGGTAGCACAGCAAAACTTGCTGCATACTTAACTTCGCACAATGCATCCTTGGAGGAGATATAGGGACTACAAGGACAAAAAATGACTCTTCTTTATCGCTCCCGTTTCGCTAACATGACAAGACCGATCTAGCTGAAAGTTTTTCTTTTTGTATATACTAGAAATTGTTTTGGTGGGGTAGTGTTTTCAATTTCTTTCTAAATTGCTCTTATCAAATCGAAATGCCACAATAATGAAATCGGCGTAAAAAAACTCTTTTTTTCTACTTAAACTTCAGCTTGATCTATCTTAGTATAGCCGAGAAACGGGGACCATTCTGCACTTTTTCGCAGATATATCGATTTTGAGAAAACAGTGAAACACAATATTCTACATAGATTGGGATTTTTATTTTCATAAGCAAATCGGTCAAAAGTTGGCGATGTTTAACACTGTCACGAGTTCATTATTGATTCTCAAGGCATCCTTGAAACGCGAAATAATTATTGTTATGAGTGGATCTTGGTAGGCAATTAAATAGTGACATCAGAATTTTTTCTCATAGAGATCTCCAAAGTCGGTTTTAATAAAAAAATCTTAACCAACGATGAAGACGTTTCATTTATACGGCATTTGTTAGAGGACAATTCGAGACTCTGCATCAGATAAAAAATCAAAATGGAAAAAATTGGATTTTCGAGTGCAGAAAAGTGGGGCAGACTCTTAATCTGAAAGTAGATAAATCAATAGTGACGGATAACAGAACAGCACTCCCTAGTCGAACATCTTGTAAGCAAGATCTTGGAATCTTGGGATCGGTAAGCAAGATCTTATCAAGATCTTGAAAAGATAATTTGTATGTACACATCTTGGTTGTATCAAATAAATCAGTAACTAAGATCTCGGCAAGATCTTGAGTAAAACAAATAGCGACATCA